TAATAAAATAAAATTAATTAAAAAAATTAGATAAACTTAGATAAAAATTAGATAAAATAAAACTTATATGCAACCCAAAAGTTATTTTACGACAACTGAGTTTTTTAATTTCAATTAAGGTGGTACAACACCAAATATTTTTTGAAAATTGAAAAAAAAAGTAAATTTTTGATATTTCGCTCATTTGATAGACAATTTTTTGTAGATTAGTAATATAAAAAACTTATTCCCAATATATCTTTTAATTTTTTAAAAAGTTAACTAACTAAAAAAAAATTATATAGGAATGATAAGAATATTTATTCTTCTTTTGCGTTTTTCTCCGTTTTCATCTTTTGTGAAACATTGCTGATTGTAAACATGATATCTTGAGAAGCAGAAGTGCTAATCATTCCAAATTTTCAGGAAATGTTTATTATACTATTCTCTAAAGAATGACATTTCGAAATTTTTAAATTCTGCTTCAATCATTTTTAAATTTTTAGGTCTTAAAAAGTTTTTTTTTTTACTTGATGTAAAAAAATTGATATAATTTTTTATGTGCTTAGAATATTTTAAAACCCAAATGTCAATACCTTACCTTACATGTCTAGAACATATGTATAAAATATCATCAATTTTGTGTTAATATATTTCAAGTTATCGTGTTTTGAATGGACCCATTAAATTGAATGATTTTTCGATAAATTCGAGCCAAAGTTATCGAGGCAATGTAAAATAAAGTATAAAATAGCATTCTAAATTAATAAAACTTTTATTAATATTAAATTCATCTGTTTTTTTCTAAATTTGAACATTTTAGATTATTTGGTGGTGTACCACCTTAAAGGACCAAAAGCATGAAATACTTACAACTAAACTTGAAACACTGACAATGTTTAATGAGTTTAACTTTTAGACAGTTATTATTAAACAAAGATATACCTTAAAATTATTTCTGAAATTGCAACATACCCCTGTGATTGATCTATCACGTTAATGAATAGCATATTAATTTTAGAAAAAGATTGAGCTAAGGTTGTAGACCAAAAATTAAAAAAATCATTTTTTCAATTACCTATTTTTTAAGTGATATAGCTATTGTAAATTACGAATTTCAAGTTTTATGAAAATTTGCTTTTACTGCTTTACTTTTTAATAAAGCGGTATAAGTAAATTTTTTTATTTTCCGTAGCAACGGTTTCTTTATTTCGGTAGCAACGCTTTGTTTAATTTACCGACTAAATAAACGAAAAAATCATTGATATGAGGTAAGACAATATATATATATATATATATATATATATATATATATATATATATATATATATATATATATATATATATATATATATATATATATATATATATATATATTTAATTGATTAAAAACATCGTGTTCGGTTATATACTATTTTTATTATTAAATGGTGATATTTTGGCTAATATACAGCGTTACCACTGCTTGGGTTTTTTTGTAGGAGAGTGCCGAAAAAATCTTATTTAAATTAATGCGCTGAAGTAAGTTCATATAAGAATTTTTTAACATTCTCCTAGGTTTAAACCCAGCCAGTGGGAACGCTGCTTATTTAGAGTATACCATTATCAAACTGAAAAAACAGTTAAACAACAGTTAAAAAACAGGTAAACAAAATTCATAAAAACTAAAAAACAAAAATGATGTTATTGCAACGTTGCAATGACGTCATTTTTGTTTACGCATCAGGAATAGTCGAACACGCCTAACATTGTAGTGGTTCAATCAACTTTAGTAAACCAAAAATTATTTCATTCTCCTAATAACAATACGCGTAAAATCCGAGAAGCAATCGAAATACAATGCTTATAGAGCTCTAAATCACAGAGCCAACGACACGGGTTTTGGAGTTAGGTGGGGGGGGGGGGGCACAGTCATCAATTTGTGAAAAAAGTCCTCTAGGGGAAAGCGAGGCAACATGCAAACGTTTTGAAAGGCCTGAGTTACTGCAAAACTATCAGTCGTGAAGCAATAATACTTTCTGAGTATGTTTATGTTATTTAAAACGATTTATTGCCTGCATAAATTTTCCGATTGTAAATATAACAATTTGAAATAAATATTAAAATAAAAAGTTCATAAATTTGTCATCTGGTCACGTGACCGAGGCAAGATGACTTATTACTCAATTTTTACCTCCAATTTTATAAAATTTTAAAAACTACCAATAACTCTAACTAAAGTAACGAAAAATAAACACAAATCACCAAAAACTACTTCTAAAGAAGTTAAACTTGAAGGACACCGTTTTGAGAAACCGAAAGTGAGGAATTTTTTTTTAGGCGCAAAAAGTAAACTTATGCGTATAAAATTGCGTTAATAATATTTCAAAAAACCAATTGGTATTTTAAAATACAAAATGCAAATACAGTTTCATTTTCACCCATTTTTAAAATTTTTTTGTTGAGTTGTTATATGAAAACCCATCTTGCCCCATTCGCCATGTTGCCCCGCTTTCCCCTATATCAAGATTTTTCTTTAAAAAAAAAAAACTTTAGAAAAAAAGTCAGGAGCACGGGAATCACAGGAGAATATCTTAAGTCGCGACAATGGTAACTTAGTGATGACACGCCATGGGAGACCACTTTTTGTTAAACTTAACAATTCTAAATTTGCAACGTTGCAATGACATCATTTTTGTTTTTAGGTTTTTAAGAATTTTGTATAACGGTTTTTTCAGTTTGATAATGGCTTATATTATATAAGCCGAAATATCACCATTTAATAATAAAAATAATATATAACCGAACACGATGTTTTTAATCAATTAAATATTAAATTAAGTATATTATTAACGATGTCACTTGAACAATATATATATATATATATATATATATATATATATATATATATATATATATATATATATATATATATATATATATATATATATATATATATATATATATATATATATATATATATATATATATATATCAAGGCCGTACCGTGAAATTTTTTAAGAATGGTCGTTTTTGAAAAAGTATCTTACTAAATTTACTTAACAAAATTTTCGTGAGACATAACTATATTTGTGTAAACAATGTTTACATAAACGAATTTGTTGTTCTCCGAATATTTTTTCTATTTTTATACTGCATAGGCGTATAAGCAAGCTCCTTTTTAGAAAATGGGTATCGATGCATAGATTTTTTTCATACAATTTTCTAGGATGTAAAGTAAAAAGTAATTTTGATACTTGTTTATAATCAACAATTTCATTGTAGTAGATATTCATGATGGCTAATGAACTAAGTCTATCTGCAGTCATACTGGCTCTCAACCATGTTTTTAATCTTCGCATTGCTGAAAAGCTGCGTTCACAGTCTGCGGACGTTACGAGTATATACAATCTTTAGTAGCTCAAAGAGATTAGGATATTGATTTTCATTGCAGAATTTAACGGCTAGAGTATTTGGCCTATCTTCAGGTTTAATAACAGACCATTTTCTTTTCCAAAACATGAATTCTTGATCTACAGCTTCTGAGTTTAGAAGATCACTTTTATACATTTCAATTAACTTTATTTTACTTATAATCATTCAATTAACTTTATTTTAATTTCAATTAAAATTAATCAATTAATCAATTAAAATTAATCAAATTAACTTTATTCTAATTTCAATTAACTTTATTTTACTTATAATCATTTATAATTTATTATAATTTAATATAAATTGTTTTAATTTATACTTACAACTTATCATTTAACCAATTATAACTTTTTTTTAATATATATATTTACGTTATTCTTCTTTTACTATATTAATAGTATTTTTTCATTATTTATTTTAACTGTTAAATAAATATTATTTTTGTTTTACTATTTTATCAATTGAATTATATTTATATTGTTAATAAATACTATTATTATTTTTATTATTTTTGGTTATATTGCTGTTCATATTACTCTTTGTTTCCTTATTTCAGTTCATTCAATCACTTTATTATATAAACTGTACCACTTAAATGTCTACTCACTGCAAAGATTGCTTCAAGAAAATTAATAAAAACCATTACCTTCAATGTTATCATTGCCTAAACCTTTTTCATAAAAAATGTTGTCGTCTGAATGATATTGAATTTAGAATATTGAAAAACTCTAAAACACCTTGGTTCTGTATTTCATGTAGGGAAAAAATTTTTCCATTCAGTACTTTATCAGATAAGGAGCTGCACCTGCAAACAATAAATGATAAAGTGATTCATATTAATGAATTCGAAAACAACATATCATCTTTCCCAAACACCGTACAGCCTAATCTTTATAATGAACTTAATGATTTTATTTCCCATCAACTTAATAACAACAATGACAATGACGTAAACCTCGAAGAATACCCTATTAATTGTAATTATATGGACATAAAAAGTTTTAACTCTTCTAACATCGACAAAAATAATTTTTCTCTTTTTCATTTAAATATTGCTTCTCTTGTTAAAAATTTTGACGAATTAAACTCACTTTTATCTCTTATTAATCATAAATTCAGTATTATTGGCATAACTGAAACTAAACTAAAACAAGGCATTTTACCAACTATCCCATTAAATCTTACCCACGGTAGTTTAATATTTAACAATCGCGGCATTTTATAATGCACATGCGCAACTTTTATTAAAAAAAAGATTGCTGTTTTGGTTTTATTTAGTAATTTTTTTTTAACCATATCCTTAAAAAGTAGCTCATAACTTTGCTATAAAGATGTATAATTGATATCCCATTATTTAAATTGATTTAAATATGGCGATGGATATGTATTTTTTTACAACATTTAAATTTTTAAATTTTAGAGTCTCTAAATACGCGGGAAACTCAGACTTGAATATATAGCTATGTATACTGATAAAACTGGATAATTAAGCGCCTATTTAAATTTTTTGGCTTTAAAACCTAATATATTTTAAAACAAGAAGAGTTTATCTATATATTAAAAAAAAAAATTAGACTTGGGTTACTTTTTTAAGTTTAAAAATAGTGTACATTAAATCCTATTATTTAGCTATAAATAAATATAAAAATGACTGAGTCTCATATAACAAAACTAAAAAAATTATGTCGAATATGCGGAGAAAAACTTGGAAATCGTAGTGTTCTTTTAACAAAGCATGTAGTTAGAATAGAATTGAATTTTTTTATACGAATCGACGAGGATGACCCAAAGATGCACCCACAGAAGATGTGTTACAGATGCTTTACAATAATGAGAAACATAGAAAAAGGTTCAAATACTGATCTTAAATTAAGAACTTGGATTAGCAATTGCCAGAAAGATGAATGTATTTGTTTCAAAGTAAATAAAGGAAGGAAACCAAAGAAAACTGTAAAAGGAAGGCCCTTAAGTATTGTAAATGAAGAAATTTGGACTCGACAAGCAATAAATAACATACAAGCTAAACTTTCATCTCTACCAAATTTAAATCTGAAACTACAAGACATTAACCAAAAATTAAACCCACATGTACATCTTTGTGTCTGTTATATTTGTAATGGTATTATGTATAAACCAGTTATTTTAAAAAACTGTCTGCATTCGTTTTGTGCACCATGTATATTACCACTAATCAATGGTAAACTATTATTTAAAACAAAATGCCCTAAATGCTCCTTTTCAATTTCAATTGATGGAATAACCTCCTCTAGCAATGTTATTGAAATGATAAATAATATTCAAGAAGAATGTAAGCAACATTGCGGTAGATTATTTAAAGTGTCACAACAATCAGAACGCTTCAACCATCAAAATAATTGTCAGACTCCAATACCAATTTCCACAACCTTGTCAACACCCTCATCACAAACAACTCTAACAGATATATTTGCATTAAATTCAACAAGTGTTATCACAAGGGATATTGATGCTGTTGCACTTCATATTATTAAACAAAAAATGTTGCAAACAACATCCAATGTAATAGAATTTCAGACAGATGGACCAAGGGTAAGATTACTTTAGTAAAAAATTACTATTACAAAATTATTCAACTTTTATTTTAATAAACTATAATAACATATAAAACGTTCACAAACTACATAGTATTTTAGCCTTTATGCTTCACATCAACACCAAAAGCCTATAAAGAAAGTAAAGATGCAACTTTACGAACAGTTCGCAAACGACAATCACAGTTAAACGATTACATAAGCACAACATGTGGTGGAAGCATTAGGTCCAAAATCAACCAAACCACTACTCTTTTGAAATCATTCAATGAAAATGAACAAGAAATTATTCTAAGTAACTCAAATATTTCAAAAACCAAAATATCAGCTGAAGAAATAATAAGTTTAAAAGCTAACATGAGCAGTACTTATGCCAACATGAAAATATTATCTAGGTAAACAAAATTAAAACTATTGTATAAAAATCTAGAAAAAAATGTATTGAATAAAAATCACAACCTTTTCAAAAAAACAAATGCATTATTGTTTTAGGTGGTTGAAAACCAAGAACATCATTTGTGCTTCAAACGCACAACAAAGAAGCCTGGCTAAGAAATGGTCATGTGATGATCTTATTATTGAAAAAGCTCCATTTATGGTTGAAAAAAAGGAGTCCAAAGGTTCTTTTGAAATAAAAGAATTGCCATGTGCTTATATTAACAATCTGCATGGAAATATAATAAATGTGCTAGATAATTTAGAAAGGTAATAACAAATCTTGCTTATAAAAGTACTTGTATTATATCTTTCTTTAACAATTTCTGACTTGGAAGGTTTAGATATAATACTACAAAAAAATACAAAAATAAATTTATTTGGCACACATTCAATATAAATAAAAAAATCAGTTCTAAAATTTCATTTTCTATAACATATTTTAGCAGCAACTTACTATTGAACAAAAAGATTAAAGGCAATGAAATCCATATAAAAATAGGAGGCGACCATGGAGGTGGCTCGTTCAAAATGTGTTACCAAGTAGTGAATGTAGAGAAACCTAATGCAAAAACAAACACAACTGTCTTTAACATATTTGAAGCAAGTGATTGTAAAACAAATCTGAAGTTTTCACTGTCAAGATTTAAATCAGAAATCGATTTGTTGCAAAATACCATTTGGAGGTAAGAATATGTTACAACCAACTAAATAATCAAAATATTTAAAACAAAATTATTTATGTTGTTTGTGATTAATTTGAACCTATATAACTATTTTCAAATGTAGAGAAAAACAGATTCGTGTATTTTTATTTGGTGATTACAAATTCTTGTGTGCAATCTATGGAATAACTGGCGCAACTGGTAAGTAAATATTTAATATATACATATCCATTTAAAAACTCATATGGAGCATATTCCTGCTATATGATTGATTTTGTTTTTTAAGTATTGAACTGTTTGATAACCTCAGGTAGACCCCCATGCCTGTTTTGCAACATCACAAGACAAGGAATGTCAACTCCAATTAAGGACAACATTGAAATGCGATCACTTGAGACACTAGATTCACATTTAGAAAAATATAAAAATCATGGTTCAGATCCCAAGTTTGCCAAGCTATGTGATAATGTTATTGACCAAAGGTTATTTAATGTGCCACTTGATCAGGTACTTTGCTTTAAATAATTATTTTCCAACTAACATCCGTAGCTTTTATTTTAATTACAACAAAGGTGATTGTTAACAATAATTTAATATTTTTATTGCAATTTAAGATCGGAATTCCAGCATTACACATCTCACTTGGTACGTATTTAAAATTCTTCAACATGTTAGAAGACTCTTGTCATACAATTGATGTCAAAATTGCAGGTCGAATGGCAGTAAATAACCAAACACTTGAAGACTGTGAAGAGTTTAACAAATATATTGAGAAGCAGCGTCAAATAAAACAACTTCAGATAAGTATTCAGGATCTTGAAAATAAAACACGTATCATAACAGAAGCACTTGAAACTCACATATTATATAACCCTGAAAATGAAGAATATATAAAGTTAGTATTTGAACCACGCATAATTCACTTTGAAGAGAAAAAAAAAGAAAAGGTAAACATTTAAAATTTTATTGTTCACTAAAAATATAAATCATAAACAATACATTTTGCTTGGATCCTAATAGATGTTATTTCTAACATTTTATGTTTTGGTATTTTTTATTTATATTAGTATTTTGTATTTATAAGAGAATCAATAGCCATATTTATATTCATAGATCTCAGAATTGGAAATAATGAAAGAAACTGACCATGTAAAGATGTCATTTGGTCCACTAGTAAATAAACTCGACGAGGTACTTAATTTGTTAGGAGTGCAAAGACAAGCATACCATGGGAAAAGTTTTGTTGGTAACCATGTTAACAAAATGTTAAAGGTAAACTAATCATTTAGTTCTTAAATATGAGTAGTATATTCATTAATTACAAATTAAGATAAAAGTATATTTATATAGGTATGATCAGTATGTATTTGTTTATATGTATATCTAATATATATATATATATATATATAAAAAGTGTAATTTAACATATATAACTTATTTGATTTAAAAAACATTATTAGATGAAAAGTATCCTCGAACTATGCAACTCAATACCAAAGCTCGTAGTCGAACTTGGGTTCAAGGATACTGACATACATAAAGAAACTATTGAACTTTGTCAGAACTTTAAAGTCCTATTTGATAAGTTTGGGGTTTGCCACAAGCTTATTAACTCCTGCAAGCAGTTCAATGAAGAAAACATTCAAAATCTTGGTATGACATGTAATATTATTATTAAGTATATATATATATATATATATATATATATATATATATATATATATATATATATATATATATATATATATATATATATATATATATATATATATATACATATAATATTACATAATATTTATATATAATTGTTTACAGAAAATCGTATTGAAGATTTTATGAAATACTTTCGTGATAACTGGCCAAATGAATCAATTACACCTAAGCTTCATATGCTTGAATATCATGCATCATCTTTCATTAGGAAATGGGGAGTAGGACTTGGTACATATGGAGAACAAGGTGCAGAAAGTATTCATGCTGAATTCAGCAGCATGAAGAGTACCTACTGGCACATGAAAGGAAAACGTAAACTCAAAAGTATAATGGATGAACACTTCTTAAAAAACCATCCAACAGTAAAAAAATATCAACAAAAAGCTCTGCCTAAAAAGAGGAAAATTGAAGATACTTAAAATAATCTTATAAAACAATGCAAAAGAGTTTTCAGGAAATAAATGGCAGTATTATGGCGTAAATATTATTTCTGCCAGTATTTTTAAACCTTCAGATAAAAAGAAAAATTGTCAATTTTTAAAAGCATTAGATTATAACAAAAAAAAGTAACCCAGTTATAATTTTAGCTTTAAATGATTCACACACTACTATAATTTCAAAAAAAACTAAAGGTAATGGCTAAAAAATTTACAATTTTAAAATATAGGCCATAATGTAAGCACAGGTTAAACATTCCGAAAAAAACAACAAAGTTTCACTTTAGTTCCACATCTTCTCTTCTCCTAAAATTATTTAAATGATAGCTTTGGTAAAATCTACCATACCTAAAATATTGTTTTGACATAATTTCTAGAGATAATTTAGCATTATCCACATATAATTAAAGTTTGAAGTGTATACAACTTTAGTGAGAAATCCCTTTTTAACCGCGATCGCTTATGTTTACAAATATGGTAAGCGAAAGATACTATGACTCAAAATGAGGTTTTGATTTTTTTAAAAAACGAAGACCAGATATATTACTGATTTGAGGAGAAATGTAGGAGAGTGCTGCTACATCGATTGATCTATACCTGTCCTAACCCAAACCCTCAGCCGATGTAGCAGCATTCCCTTGCATGTTATCCCTAAATTAGTCAATGTAGAAACACTCTCCTACATTTCTCCCCAATTTAGTAATATATCTGGTCTTCGTTTTTAAAAAAATCAAAACCTCATTTTGAGTCATAGTATCTTTCGCTTACCTACAAATATTTGAACAAAATTTGACGCATGCGCGTGTTAAAAGTCCATTACTAAACCACCGTGTACCGGTTATGTTTATGAGCACACTCCAACAAAATCTTATTTTGGAGGAGCTTTACTTTATATATCGAATACATTAATTTATAAACTTCGATATGATCTTAATATGCTTAAACCAAAACTTTTAGAATCTGTGTTTGTGGAAATCATAATTCCTAAAAAATCAAACATCATTATTGGCTGTATTTATCGCCATCCTAGTATGGATATTTCAGAATTTATTAAATCATATTTAATTCCACTTTTTGAAAAGCTATCTATGGAAAAAAACAAAACTACTTTTTTAATAGGCGATTTTAATGTCGATCTTTTATTAGCAAACTCAGATAATTCTGTCCCTGAATTTTTAGACACTATTGCTTTAAATAACTTTCTTCCCTTTATTTCATTGCGAACAAGAATCACAAATCACTCCAAAACTCTAATTGATAACATATTTTCTAATGCAACTTCTACAAATATTTTTGCCGGTAATTTTACTTCTACGGTATCAGATCATTTGCCCCAATTTTTAATACATCCTCTTTATAGAACCAAAATTAATTCTCATAAAAGCTGCATTTTTCGTCGAAATCTAAAACAAATAAATTGCGTCGAGTTATGTAGTGATTTCTCAAAAATTAGCTGGATTAATGTAATTAATGTCAACGAAGGTAAGACTAATAAGTCATTTGAAGAGTTTTTCTCAAGTTTCAATTCTCTTTTAGATAAACATGCACCATTGAAAAAAGTCAGCAATCGTTGCTTATCAAGGGGTCTCAAACTTTGGATAACACGAGGAATCTTGACTTCTATTAAAATGCGAAATAAAATATTTAAAAAATTTCTTAAAGCAAAGAATCCTAATAACAAACTCAATCTAGAAAAATCTTATAAAGCATATAGAAACTTACTTGTTACTCTCACCCGTCGTAGTAAAAAGAACCATTACTCTAAGTTCTTCTCTGACAATGCCAAAAATTTGAAATCTACATGGAATGGTATTAAGAACCTTTTAAAAATTAGTTCGAGAGTTAACTCATCTCCTTCATGCTTATCTTCTACCAACTCCATGATACACGACCCCATTAAAATTTCGGAATCTTTTAATTCATTTTTTGTTTCAGTTCCGGAAGATTTACAGAATAAGATCCACTCATCCAATACTGACTTTAATAAATATCTTAAAAATCCTAATCTTAATTCAATGTTCATAAAACCTACAGACAAAAACGAAGTATTATTGATTATTCATTCTCTTAATGACAGCAAGGCTTCTGGACCTAACAGCATTCCAATACCTATTTTTAAAGCTCTTGCAAATGATATCTCTCCTATACTTTCTGAACTATTTAATCTGTCATTCACAACCGGTGTATTCCCTGATATTTTAAAAACTGCTTCTGTTATCCCAATTCATAAAAAAGACTCAAAACTTGAACGTAATAACTACAGACCAATTTCATTATTATCAAATGTCAGCAAACTTTTAGAAAAACTTATGTATTCTCGTATTTACAACTTTTTAAATAATTCTGCTTGTTTTCATATTCGACAATTTGGGTTTCGCTCAAATCACTCCACTTCTCACGCTCTTATTAGCATTACTGAAATGATTCGTGGTGCAATTGACAGTGGTTCTTTTGCTTGTGGT